CTGGGCCAGAGGGGGAGAAGGTGGACCAGGTACAGCACCCAGGGCCACACACCCATCCGCCACCCAGGCACACCCGGGAGCGTGCTCTTCTGCTTGCTGGGCATTCCTTCATCTGGTGGGGCTGACAGGTCAGGATGGACAGCCAAATACTTAGGCACTGCATTTCCTCCGTGGCTGAAGGAAAGTCTGAACCCACCCGTCAGACTTTCTCCTGTGATGAAACCCCATTTGCTCTCATGGTAGCTCACTTGGTAACACTTCCTCTCTCTGTCGTTCTCCCTCCTCCACTGACAGTTTCCAAACTCCCCAAGCAGGCAAACTGGAGTCAAATTCTAGTCTTGTGTCTGCTTCTGTAGAAATCCAACCTCACACTGTTGAGAATGTCATTCGTTGGTTTTGCCAGCTTTCCATTCCTGGAATAAGCCATGTTTACTCCACGAGATGTATCACATTTTGCTGGATTTGTTTTGCTGATATTCGGTGGGTGAATTTTGCACCTGTTGTCATGAGTTTGGTTGGCCTGAAATTGTCCCCTCTCAAACTGTCCTTGGCAGATTTTCTAGTGAGGTAATGTTAGCCTCAGAAAATGACCTGGAGAACACATCACATTTTTCTGTTCACTGTGATAGTTTGTAAAAGATTAGAATTGGTACTTCTTGAATGTTTAAAGATGCTTGAAACTATCTGGGCCCCGTGATTTGAGTAGGGCTTTGGAATATATGTATACCTAGGCCTCCTGGTTACTTCTCCTCATCCCAGATCTTACCAGGGGTGTCCTAGGCCAGGCAGACTGCTGTGGCTTGGACCTGGGGCATCAATGCAACTTTGCAAATAGATGAGGGATGAGGGAGGAGTACTTTTCCCCTGCCAGGTGTAAATAAATCCTTCTTTTAAAAATATTCTAATTTTAATAAAATAGAAATTGCTCAGTTATCAACTGCATGGCAGGTTGCAGAAAGCCTGCTACTCTGCTCCGGCAGGCAAACTGCATCTGCAACAGCAGCTACAACTGCACACAGCACTCACTGATGCCTATGATATCCAGAACCAAGACTCAGCTGCCTTCTGTGCCATCAAAGAGAGGTGAATGGTTCATCTATGTCTCTGATAGCATCACTGTTTTTCCATTTCCTCCAGGGATATGGTATTTTGGCATGAAGAAGGGCCTTTGTTGACCTATAGCCCCTCCCTTGCAGGACAGAGAACCCATGTAGATGTCTTCCACCTCTAAAGGTATACTTTCATCTATGTTTTTAGGAGCTGGGGAAATAATTGCAGGTGGGTGTGTGATTTTGTTGGGCCTATACCGACTCTGACAAATAGCCCACTAATCACCTATCCCCGTAAGTATCTGACCAGGGCTCCCCAGGGACCCAGCTGTAGTTTTCATTCTGAGCTACTGTCTGAGAACACAGCTGGGATGGCTATCTATCTCTGGCAGTCTCCAAAGTGCTTCATTTGGAGGAAGCTGGGAGGAAGATTCCAAGCATGCCCACGAGACAATCTCATTGGGACCCCGGCTCTCTCCCGAGGCCCATGAGCTGATGCTGCAAAGTTTGGAGGCGTCACTATTGTGGCTCAAGATTCAGATTTCAAGAAATGACGGTTTTTCTTCTGACATTGTACAGACCAAGTGTGACTTCGAGAAGGGGTCTTTCTGTTTCTTTCCTGGAGACTTTGTGGTCATCCACCTCTGAAACTGGGTCTGACCATGGTGAGACACGAGGCCGGCCACGTCTCCCTCTGCTTCTCTGGTCCAGCGCTCGGCTGTGAAGGGGACTCACACGAGGCAGCCTCTTTCCAGGGGCTTCTCGACACTTGGAAGGAGAATCATCTTCAGCCTCACTGCTCATGGCTGTGACTAAGGGGTTGGGGGCATGTCAAAATAGAAAAGGGTTCAGAAGAGGAAAAGCTGGAAAAGAAAGATGCAAACCTAAACCAAACAGAAACCACAGACGTGGAAATAGCTCCCTGTTCCCAGCATGAGTCACAGCCACTTTAGTAGAGGACAAATCAAGGGATGTTTTCTTCTTTGGCTTATGTTCAAATTTGCATTCTTAACATAACGAGTTTAGAACCTGATGAAGCTTTTGATATGTTACATATTTTCATTACGTTTTTCTTTTGTAGTATACTTTAGAATAAAATACACCTGTGATTTTTTCCAACTTGTGGTTGTAAAATTAATTTAATGTTTTGTGACAAACATGAGCAAAAGAAAAAAGGAACAAAACTGAAAACATTAGAATATATTACATTTACAAAATAAGGATAAGTATTGTTTGGGAAACTTTTGTTTCTTTTATATACAGTGAATACAATAAAATACTCCAGCATTCTTTAGATTTAACATAACTTCTAAACTCACATGTTAGTTTATATCATGCTTATTTACTTTAACTTCCTGTCTCAGGCATATAGGCAGCAGTTTGAAAAATAGTACATACAGGGTATTTGTTTCTAGGCCTTGTTTACTTCAAAATGATTTTATTTCTTTAACAGTGAAAATATAATCTAAGTATAAAATGTTTTGTCACAATCTCTCCCCCTGAAAATACTGTCTCTTTAGTCCACTGACTTCTGGGATTCGTATTGTGGAGAATTCTGATTGCAATTTTTGATTTGTTGAAAAATAACATCTGTGTGTGCACATTGTAGAGTTTTCCTCTCCACCTTTTTCATCACAGTGTTTTCCAGCCAATGTCTAAGAGTGCACCTCTTCCCCTTCAGCTCCTCTGCGCTTCAAATGTACAGCAAGTTGTCCCCTCCTCTTCAAGGGGGGGGGTCTTGCCAGCCCTCTCATGGGTTGGTGCAAACCCTGCATAGACCACCTGTTTTCTTAGCCACACACACTGGTAGAAAAACAGAACTCTTACATTTGCACTTGAGGGAAATATTTACAGCTTCTCTTTGGAAAATCCAAACTGCCAGCCTGGCCCTCTTGGCTTTGGGACCATTCGTAACTGCATAAGGGATTCCCTCACTCAGCAGGATGACACGGTGACAGTCCCTCTGCACAGGGAGGTGGATGCTCTGTGACTGAGGCGCAGCTGGCACGTGCAGGTGGGATGGCTCATGTCTAGCGCTGGAGCAGGACAGCGAAGGGCTCATCCCACCACACACCCGCGTGCAATCGCAGCTTGGGACTGCTTTATGGGCAGGGTTTCCACTGGCTGCTTCCAGATCGTGGCTGACCACAGTAGCTGAAACCAGAGGCAAGCAAAGTCATGGGCAGGGACTGTTCTTACTTCCAAACGCCACCTGTGATGACTGCAACCAGCTTGTCGCCAGTCTCACCTGTCCGGATTGTCCTTCAAGGCCCTTGCTGCTCCTCGAAATGATCAGATGTAGAGGAGCGAAGCGTGGTCAGCCCACTGTGCCTGTATCTCGGAGCTGGCACAGACTTCCAGCCATCTGGAAGACAGTGTGGTCGCAGGAGGGGTCTTGCAGATTGGGGCCCAGGGCCGGGTCCGACTGCAGAGTGGCAGTGCACCTGGAGAGTCTCTGACTCTGGCTCTGCCCCGCTAGGTCCCCGTGGCTCCATCTTGCCTGCTGCCTCCCCGCAGTGCTGTCTTGGCCACTGTCCCTTGCTTACGAGCTCTGGTCCTTCAACAACAGACGTGGACTTGGCTGCAGGACTTCACAGGAGCTGCGTACTGCCCCTGGAGGCTCTGCTCTACGTCCGGTCCGCTCCCCACTCACTCCTGGCCTCTCAAGAGCCACATCAGTGCCACTCAGAGCAGCCCCTGTGGCCGCCTGGTCACACTGCATGCCAGTGGCTGCCTCAGCCTCCCGTCTCCCTGATGCAGCAAATGCACGTTTGATGCCGTGGCCCAAACCCGAAGTCCCCACACTTCCTGAATCACTGGATGTTCCTCTAATTAACGAGCAGCTCTAAAAATGAAATCCTTTGGGCTTAATGTTTGAAATTATGTACACATAATTTGTAACTGCATAGTCTGAATTCCAAACTACAATCACTAGTTATGTTTTATTTCAGAAAGATTACATTTATTTCGGTAATTACCTCTTCTTATATAAACTAATGCTAAGTTATACTTAATATTTTGGGTTTTTTTTATATAGCATCAATACCAGGACCACTTATTTGAATGGTAGCTGCATGTCCTTAGAAAATTTCTATTAGCATCTGCAATAAAAAGTCAACAAAACATCACTCCATATCTATTACACTATATTGTTTATAGAAAATTTAAAGGATTTTTAAAATCTAATTTTAAAAATTTTTAAATTTAAATTTGTGAGCTTAAACATATGTTTTCTTTGTCATATGTGTGTGTGTGTGTCCTAATATATTTCCCTGAAGACATTCCGCTTCCAAGAACTTTAAGGCAAACCAGTTCAAACATATAGCAATCAGGTCTTTGTATGTCCTCAAAGCCATTGGAGTATTCTTTTCCTAGGCCAGTCAATGGTAAGTAAATCATTTTCAGAATCAATTAATGTGAAGGGCCATTCTCATAAGACAAATATACATATGCAGAATACAGATCTAGAGCCATTCCCAGGCTCTGCGGGGAGGGGCTGGGTGAGCCCTTCTGGAAGGTCATATCTGTGGATGCTCACATCTCTTATATAAAGTGGTATAGGATTTGTACATATCATACACTAATCGTCCTATCTACTTAAAATCATCTCTAGATCACTAATTATATCTATACAGTGTAAACACCACAGGAGTTGTTACATTGTATTTATTATTTAAGGGTGCAGAAGGCTGACTGTAAATTCACTGGGCTTGAAGACTTCACCAAATTTGTTTATTAACCTACATTAAGAGCACTGGCCGTAGGAAATTTGATTTTATTTTATCCTCAAGTACTTTCATTTGCATTGTTTTATTTGTAAGTAGTCTACATGTTTTTGAGAGAGAACAAAAGATCTGGCTTGAATTCAAGTAAGCAATTTCAACTTCTCATGATTTTGTCTTCTGAAAGACGTTGAAAAACCTTGGAAACAAGGCTGAGAAGCCAGATCAATTATTTTCAACCTTTATTCATTTCCATAGTCATAACATACAGTCACCACCCAAAGAGATAGAAGATTAGATGCAAACCACTAGATGGTCTCCTTAATGTGCTACCATTTCCATTCTAATATTTAATACTCCATATTAATTTTTTGAGTTTAGCATGCTATGTTTTTGCTCAATGCGGCCAGTGAGTCAGACTCGGCAGCACAGTGACAAATATGTCTACATTATTTTCAACACTGATACAATAAGTCTAGTGCGTGTTCTCTCATAGCAGCATCTGTCCCTGCCATGGTGAAACTGTGGATTCTGGTACCAATCTGTGCTGCTCGGTCCTGAGCGATCTCATTTCCTGGACTCTGAGTGAAGGCCTGTTATCTGTTGCATTCTCCCAGCTGGACTGAGTCGAATCAGAACGCTGATGCTTTAATGTATGCCATCCTTCAAGCTCAGACAGACTCACAGATGACATTTATCTTATTATTTTATGCATTTACAAGTATTAATCTTTCAAAGAAAATACATTCCTAAGTTAATAAAATAGCGCAATCAAAACTTTTATTTTTCTCATCAGACTGAAATAATAAACCAAATTAACAAGAAAAATGGCAAGAAAAAATCATAGCATAAAACATTCTTTCTCAGAAGAGAATCTCAAGAATATTATGAAAATATGCACACTGTGTAACTGAAGACAGAAAGTCAATGCATTCACCGTTGAGTGGCCGAAGCATTCACTGCCCTCCCACCCTCTGCTTAGGGCTGAAGCGGGGAGACAGGCCTCGCACAGGTGAGCTTCCGGCTTTGTACAGAAAGAAGGCAGAAGCTGCTCTGGGAGGAAACTTAGAACATTGCTCACTCCAGTCCTCCCTATTCCCTGGTGCATGTGCAACACATGAATAGTTCTGTCTTTCTTTGCTAGAGTAAAAATCATGTTCTAAATAAAGTAGTTTGAATTATTATTAAACCAAACATAAAGATGGAACATTGAAATCCTAATTCATTAACTAGTGAACACAGAACACACAGCATCTTTGGGAGGGGTCTGCAGTCATCATTTGCATACTGTATTTAGCCAGCAACAAATTTTAATTTTTAATTAGGAGACATTAAAATATAATTAGCAGCAAATAACAGAATGACAAAGCTACAAAAATTCAAGTCAAGGAAGCAGCAGATTTTAGCCATAGCAAAGAAGTTTCTTCCATGAATGCAGGGACTAAGGGGTCAGCTTCCCCCCATTTGCCCCGAGACAAAATTTCTAGAAGGGACCTTGCTGTACAGTGACAGAATGACAATAACACAGCTGTAGCTGTCAAAACCAGTGTGTTCTCCAGTCAGGAGGCTCCCGACTTCGGCGAACATCATACATAAAGGAACATAGTAAATTCCAACGTAGCATACGCACAACAAAATTAATTCATTTGTCAGAGACGGATGGATACAGTTTTGAATACACATTTCCCAGGAGGAAGCAGAGGACAACACGGACCATTTGAAGCTGAAGCTGTCAAACCTGCGGAGATGAAAGGATCTACTACGAAATTCACAGTACATGGATCATAAACGAAAAATAAACAATTTATCAAAAGAAGTTGGTTGGTGGCCCAACATAGAGATATCCATATATGTATATTTATATATAGAATGATAAAAATCAGCTTGCATGAGGCTCATAGTCTATCTACTTTGAAGTTGTATCACACATACTATAAGCAATTTACGGAATTTGTGAGGTCTGCATATACAACAATTGGAAAATGAATTAAAATACATCAAAACATAGAGTGCTCAAAATGTACTCATAGAAACTTCCCAAGATGGACAGGGATTGGCCATGAGCAGGACTCCCCACCATGGAATGAGAACTGGGATCAGGAAAAAGAAGAAAAAAAAAATCCAAGAAAAAGGTTTGAAAGAAAACTTTCCGTGATTACCCCGTGTTTGAGACAACATTCTCCTTGTTGACTTGCAGCACTGATGACTTTGTTCTTGCCCAGAAGGGGTTTTGTTGGCTAATGGTTTCTGTCCTGTAGACTTCTGATCTGTTTGTTTCTCTGCGGCTGACAGTGGGTCCTTTGGGAGGAAATCAGTGGTATCCACAGTAAAAATTCGCTACACGATGACTTTGGCCAACCCCTGAGCAGTCAGAGAGATGATGATATTATTCGCCGAAAGAAAAGAGAAAAAGTCTTGCTATCAGAAAAGGTCCTATCGCTTCACACTAATTCTCTTGAAATGAAAGACCAGTGATTTGCCAAAGAAAACATTAGGAACAGAGTGCGATAGCCTCTTCTTTTATGCTTCTGGAAGCAGGAGCTCCTGGTGTGGGTAATTAGAGTACAGAGGGTGCTGGGTGGTGCTTGGAGTTTAGGGTCAGCTTTGCTGTCCGCTCCGTAGGTTTTACAGGCGATTTGCTCTTTGCTTTAAGAAGAGAAAGTGATATTGGAAAAAGTCAGCACTTTAGATCAAAGCAAAGCACCCTTCACAAAGCCACAAACAAGAAGCAGGACAGAAAGTCCATGGCTTGTAGCTATCCTCGCACCTGCGGAAGAAGTTATAAGATATTCGCTCATCTTGGAGATTTCCAATGCTCCTTATCACGCTGTTTTAAACACATACACATATAAAATTTAATTAGCTTGCCAGCTTGGCTCTGCTGCTCATGAATGTCTTGGCATGCACTGCAAACAACAACACATACAAAGTATTTCAGTCCCGGGACGTGGAGGGGTTTGTTTTCAAACAATGCCACCCCATGGCTGGCAGCTCTGGGAGGAACGAACCCAAATGGGTTTGCCTCAGCGGTTTTCTGAGGATCGCTCCCTACAGCCATTCGGTGGTTCCAGGACTGGTAGCGGAAACACAGGCTGTCTTAGAACTGCGTTAGCATGGACCTGCAGGAGAACCTGCCCAGCTTCCAGTGATGGAGGTCCTTCTAGAGAATGGTCAGCCTCACTTTGTAACTTTCAGACCCCCTATCAGTTAAATACCCCATGGATTCTCTTGGGTGACAAACCCAAAATAAAAATAAACATCCAAAGAAAAGATAGGTCATCGGAAATGGGGAGACAGATTTTTTACAACAGGGAAGGGACCAAGAGACAGAGGGAAGAGGGAGGGAGGGAAGGAGGGAGGGGATGAAAGAGGAACAAAGACGTGCACTGCGCTTGCAGCAGCCTATCAGTATGTACTGCAAGTGTGTACCAATACAATTAAAAATTAACAGATAAAAGCATGGGAAAATCTTAAAAGAGCGCCAGGACTAGGCAAGGGGTATACTTAAATGCTATTTCACATTTTTCTTCAGATATCCTATCCAATTGATGACATACTAAAGATCTTTACCAGTGAAGAAATGTGATGAAACACAAAGGATTCCTTCTCTGCTTTAGTGGGAGAATGGTTAAAAGACCAGAATGGGGAAACTTCAGTATTTTTCAGCTAAGTCACGCTTGGTCGGGTCCACAGCGGCGCTGGTAAACACTGGGGAAGAACCCTCAAAAGTTCCCTCGAGGATGCACATCCAGTTGGCCCGCCTTCTTGTTAGACTGTGTAAGAGTCGGCTTTCTGGTGGGTGGGCTGCTGTGTAACACGGTTCTCCTCCGAGAACCTAGGGACTGAGACCCCCAGTGGGTAGGTCTGGAAGAGGCCGGTGCCCACGCTCAGGGAGTAGGGGCAGGGGCTCACAGGCCCAAGAGTGACCAGCCGCTCCGCTGGGGCAGCAGACTGGCTGGAGAAGCAGCCTGCACAGAACCCTGAGCACGGGGCTTCCCACAGCGAAGCACATGTTCTGGTGAGGCTTGGAAGACAGATTCTGTGACCGGGGTTCATTTGATGAAAAAAACTTGAGAAGGAGACAAAGGCCCCTATTGTTACACAGGCCCTTAAATAGCCAGCAACCCTTGACTTGACACAAGATATGCACAAGATATGAGTAAACGTCTGAAAAGTTCTAAAAGTAGTAAAATGATTCTCCATTTTCAAACTGTTCTGTGCATAATGGTTTCCTCAGCATGCGCAGTGTGGCAGTGACCCCGAGTTTCTGCTGCCCCTCCCAGGCCAGGCCCTACTCCACGGCCCCCATAAAATGTTAAGAGGACAGCTGCTTCCCGCGGACTGATATTTCCTACCCCAAGTTGGCATGTGCAAGTTCAAGCATAATTTACATGTGTTTGAACTGGAAAGAAATCCAGTTTTGTATACTCCTCAGAATAATTTGAAGACTACCCAGATTCTGAGCTGCCTTCATAATGCAATCCACCATTCAACATAGCGCTTTTCTTTCTACATCCACTCTGGGTGCAAGATTTACGAGCATATTTTTAATTAAATGAAATTTCCTTCCATCAGGACAAGTATGATTTCCTCCCCCATATAGTAAATTCTGAAGCACATCTGTATTGTCATCAAATCACTGACTGTTCTCTCTCTTTCTGGTTTTTATTTATGTCTTTTCTTTTCCTTTTTCAGAACTGAAGACTGAACCTAGGCCATTATTTTGAGTCATTAAGTCGCTTAAGTCATCCAGCAGGCTCAGATAAGGGACTTCCTGCTTCATCCTCCCAAAGTGCTGGAATTACAGGCATGTGCCACCATGCCCAGCTGTCTTATGTTCTGAATGAAGAGAGATGCATTCCTGTCTCTTTGCAGATCCCAGGACTTTTCAGCAGCAATACAGAATATGATTACCAAATAACCACTGTGGTTATTTTCACTCGGATTTGTACAGTTTGCAGTTGGCATTCTTGTCTATCACACATACTATGATTTATTCTCTAGAAATGGTAAAGCACTTATTTTGGCAAAAGCCAACTTTGCTCCTTTATGATGTTCTATCCTTTACACAGAGAAACATTTCGCTCTGTAGGGAATGCGTCCGGAGCCCTCCGTGGTCCTGAGCTTCTGAGATCACAGCCCGCCCTGATGTCCCGTGTTCGAAGCTGGGCATTCTCTCTGCACTGCTGGGTTCTCATTTTCATATGAGGGGCCAGGCAGGCGGTAGAAAACACCCGCCTGCTTCCTGTGGCTCCTCTGCTTGATGCCGGAGCTGCTTGTTACCCTGAGATCAGCTCCCCTGGAGGACGCCGCCGCCCTCCCAACCCCAGCTGCCCTGTGCACTCCTCGGGCTGGTGGGCTGCTCCTTCTGCCCGGACCTCGGCAGTGGTGTGGTTTGGCCTCTGAGGTGGCCTCCCCTGGACATCCTGAGACTGTTTCCGGGCCCTGTGCTCTCTCACTGGCCACACTATCATCCCATGGAACACAAGGACTGCGAATTTTAGTGATTTCTTATTGTTCTGCGGATCCGAACAAGGCCCTGGTGGCTTTTAAACTCTCGACCCCAACACAACATAGAAGCAAGGGAGAAGCTGTTGTCTGAACTACAGGAAGAAACCGTTTGGAGGCCACACCTGGGTTGAGAGGGGCCCTGGGACCCCGAGCCACCTCATCATGGCCCTCATGCCTCAGCCAGGCGACGCCTCCCATCTGTGTTTATGCTTGAAGCTCTTCACTGGGCTCTCAGACGCCAGGCCTAGGCCTCTATGGTCAGGGGAAGTGTCTTCTCCATTTCACCAACAGAAAAGGAGAACATGATGTCTAAGCAGAAAAGAAACTCAGCTTCCGTTTCTCCACCTGCCCCTGCTTGTAACAGAAGTACTGGAGTTGGACCCAGGACCTTCTCGTGGAGTTACATGACCAGCCTTTCTTTTAAAAGACAAGATCTTATTAAGTCACCCAGTTGCCTGGGCTGGGCTCAAGCTTGTGGGCCTCCTGCCGCGGGCAGCCTCACACAGGGTTGGGACGACAAGGTGCTGCCCCACACCCGCCTGCCCGCCTTCCTGCTCCCTATGCACAGCCCGCTGGGGACTGACCCTTGCGGGAGCGCTGCAGAAGAGAGTGACGGATGAAAATGCGACCCAGGAGCAGCACTGCAGAAGCCTCTGAGACTTTATCTTCATTATCACTTCCGGAATAACAGCAGTTTCAACCGTTTCTTTAAAAAAGTCGCGAAACTAAAGTGCAGTACAGTAGTCATGGCCCTGGCGTGCTCGGCAGTCAAGCTGGAAAAGGCCACGGTGGGGACCTCGAAGTCCCGTCCCCGCAGCACCAGCGGGCATCTCTGCGAGCGCCGCGTCTGTCTGCTCACCTCCTTCAGCTGAGCCTCGTCCTCACTGAAGGCTGCAGCTGCAGCTCTGGCTTCCCTGCTCCTTGCCTGCCCCGTCTGCCGGCCACGCCTCCTCTCTAGGCTCCCACCCGCACCGCACTTCCTGGGAGGGAAGGGAGGCAGGAGCGCCTCTGCTGCTGCTCTAGTCGGCCTCCCTCCCGGAGGTGACAGGGCGACCTGCTGCGTGCCAGGCACACACGGGGGGCGCCTCGACGGTCCTCAGTTCAGCCCAGAGCTGGAGTTCTGTGCTCAGCGGGCAGGGAGCCGCCGTAACAGCTCGCCCCAGGCGCCAAGGACCTAGGCACGAAGCAGGGTGCAGAGCCAGCCGAGCCGAGAGGGCAACGGTGCGGTGGGCAGGCAGCCCTGCCTCAGGCCCTCACAGTGTGGGCGTCCTGGCCTTGCCCTGCACGCCACACTTTGCAGAGATGGTACTTGGGCTATAACACACCCCAGAGAAAACCAACTCTGTACAAATCTAACTTTCCCCAACCCCGAACTGACAAATACTGGACAGGGAAAGAGCATCAGCTTTCCTAATTGCTTGTAAGTAAACACGTTTTGCTTTGTAATGCACCGAATGATGAGACATGGCAGTATTAGTGCTAAGGCTTCTGTGGAATCACTCAGACCCTTCATGGGATGTGGGCCCCACTGGTTTGACACCTCGGTCCGTCCTCTAAGAACATTTTCTCCCAGCTTCCTGGGACCAAGCAAGGGTGAGCTGATTGCTCACAGCACCACTGCTCAGGTGGAAGGGGTGGGAGGCAGAGTTTTTGGGTGCTGGGGAGCCCCAGGACAGGGTATGTTCATCTAATTCGAAGAATCAGCTGAGAGTTAAGCAACCAAGGCAATTCATCTCCTGTACATCTCACCGGGTCTGCAAAGAGCCACCTTGCTGGTGTCAGTTTCCTACTTGGACACAGCTTTATTTGTTTAGACTCTGGGAACACGTCTCACTTGGGTATCCGTGCAGTGTCTCACATGATTATCGTAAGGCTTTTCCTTTTCTTCTTAAATATTTGAGTAACTAATGGAACCACAAGGGACAAGAAAAAAGGAAGAAAACAGTTTCTCTGCCCCAGCTCCCTGGTCTGATTGCAGAATCTTTCTCTCATAAAGGGAAGAATGAGAAATGTTCATCACAGAGATGAACTAGAAGTGGAGCCCTCCAATCCCATAGCAGCAAGAGCCTGATCATTTTTTGCCTATGAAAGAGCTTCAACTTACACAGAACCGAGTGTCCATTATGGCTCGAGGTGCGGTCGGGCCCTTAGACAGACTTTTCTCAAAGGCGCCAGCTTTAAGAAATGAAATGGCTGTGGGAGAAAACTGAGTGAACTTTTAATGCAATTTTTATTCAGGCGTGCACACCCTGAATC